GAATAGAATAGATAGTGTAGCCAATCAGAAAATGGCATTCGTGATAGAACGATAGTAGATAAAACTCACGCATCGATCAATAGGCATCAATAGAAACACGACAAATGTTTCAAAAAAATGTTGGTCAAGTTCTCGTTGCCGTCGTGTTTGCTTTAATATAAGCTCCATCTCTTGTTTATGAACAAACCTGTAGCTTTTCTATGTGGATTGTTCTTATATTAGTGCCACTCACATCCAGGAATGTCAAGTTTGGACAATTTTCCTTTGAACAAACAAGATCCATGAAATTAGTTAAAATTAAATTTCAATTCATGGTAAATATCTTGTTATCAGATTTAGTTTAAGTCTGAAAAGAGGCTAAGTGGCCGACCAGGCCGGAGCTTATCCTAGTTTCTGTAGCATGAAGTGACTAGTAGTATTTTTACTCCACCCTGGATGGGATGCTACTCCATCGCAGGGTAGTACCCCCAGCATTAAGGAGTCATTAAGTTTGCCAGTACCCATTTAAACACCTGGGTAGGGAGAGGCACTGTGAGAGTAAAGTGTCTTGCTCAAGAACAAAACGCAATGTCCCCAGCCAGGGCTCGAACCTGGGCCACTCAATCCAGAGATGAGTGCACTAACCATGAGGCCACCGTACCTCCCACTTGTTTTCGGGTGTACGTAAGACTATTTGTTTCAGTAAACGGATGTATGTTAGTTATACGCACAGGGAGTATTGTTACTCAGTGCACCTCCTGGAGGTCTTTACATTCCACTGTAATTCCAACACATGCTGGTGTCAACAAAAAAATTCTGCCTGGAGAGAGGCGCTGTGTACATCATGGTACACGATGGTACACCTTTTCCTGTAGTACCTACTTGGTAAATTCTGCATATGTACGAGCCAAACAAAGATAAAAGTCAATTTTTACCTGAATAAGTGGAAGTATATGTCCTCCTCTTAAGTGAGTGCAGTTCATCAAATTCACTTTTTCTAGCTGACTTCCTAACTTAGTGGTGATGTGTTGGAGACCAGAGATATCAATCTACAAAAAAATGCTCAACAAGTGAAAAACTTCTTCCCACTCAAGTGAATTCGCAAAGCCATACAACACCAGCATTCTGTATGACTACTTATAACAAATTATGCAAAACATGAATGGTTAAGTGAATGTGTTTGTCTGATCACTCTAAGATAACATATTTTTACAAAACATTATCCAAGTACATTCATAAACACA